ATGGCCTAATCACCCTTAACTTAGGGTAGGCTCCGAACCCCTCGGTGGGGAAGTATAGTGAGCTGATGATGAATGGTGAATGAATGAATGTATCATAAGATTTGAACCATCTGTCATGTAGTTAATCTTTAATTTATTTATTCATTCTTCTAAGATTTATTTGTAATCAGTTTACAACTTTAAGCAAATGTGAGTGATTTCAGAATTATTTCTTCATCAAAAAAGTTCTTCTTTTAAACAACCTTCATGGGTCTTATTTATTGCATGAGTTTATAGTTGATTTGTTGTAATGTTTATAGAAATTGTGATAATTATTATATATTACAAAAGGTTGAAAGTATTTGACAAACCTAAAATATGATTACAGTTCCGACAAGGATCCGTAAAATTGGCTAAAGGTTGGTCAGTTCTTGCATTTGCTTTAGCAGGCTGTTGTGCCACCGGAGCTTTCCATCCATTACAGGAACATTCTGGAGTCTAGAAAATATATATTGTAATAAATAAATAATGAATAACATGAATAGTGAAATAAACCAATTATTAGCTATTAATTCAAAATTTGTATTTCACTGCAATTTGAATTTAAAAGAAGAAGATAAGCAATTAATGTTATTTCAAGTTTCTTGTTTTCTAGTGTAACAAATTTATAAGGCACTTAGATATAAGTGAAATTAAAAAAGGTCTTGTGATGTCTTATCTCCAATCTCCAAGTTTATACATCTTCTGACAGAACAAACTGCAAACATGCCAGTGGCACTCACAGGGTCAAAAAGTTAGTATGACTATGTATTGTACTTACTTGGCAGGCAGAGTATATGGCCAATTTGAGAAGCTTCTTGTTATGTGGCCAGTTGTACACTTGCTGCTTTCTCTGCTGGATTCTCTGAAGATTAGACTGTCTCGAGGCCCCTTCGCTGCCTGAAGGGGTTGTTGCATTGCTAGATGTCGCGTCATCTGGAGTTGCACTTGACGTAGCTTCAAATTAAAAAAAAAATGTGTTTCAGTATTATAGGTCGCAAATTATTAGAATTACTATAAATTAGGGTTGTGTAGTATGACTTTAGCTTTCAACTAATTATTTGATTCATATTTATACGATTGAATTAAGTTTTATACAAATATTCGTGTCTCAACTTTTATTTTAAATAACTATTTTTATGTACTATATCTTTTCATATACTCGTTTGTCAGATGATATAGTTATTGTGATTTCAAAACTTTCTAGTACTTGTTTTCCGTAATAGGTAAATTTCAAGTTTGAAATATTGAGCGGGAAGTTTCATATTTATTTACCTTCTTGTGCGTGTCCTTGCGAAGAATCCGCCTCTGTGTTTGTCATTCCTATGTCACCTATGTCGTTTGTCAATTGAGACGTCATATTGCTTTTACGACGCTATCGAAGACAGTTTGTCCCCATTAAACTGTGTTAATATGGTTTACCGCTTTTTAATCACGTACAGATCTAAAATATTAAACAATTACACTTTACCAAAATTATATTTCCCCGTTGCGATGATTGCTGTCAAACTTAAACATCAAAGTTAAACAAGATGGCGGTAGAAAAAATTCTAGTGTTACCAGTTTATCAGGGTAAATATTACCGTAATTGCAAAATGAACCATGTTATCATATTGAGAAATAAAATAATGAAATATTGTGTGAAGGGTACTTTTAAACGGCTGTATTTTTGTATCGGCATCCTAAAAAACACCGTTATATAGACAAAAGGTTACCTTTATGAATATACCCCGTTCCAAATCTTAAATTCATATATATCACAGACTGATATCTTTAAACTCTTGAGGGTTGTGTGCAATGTTTGTAAGAAATATCCTTTTCGAAGTTGAAGTCATTCTCCTACCCATCTTTTCCTCAATCTAAAAGGGTGGGAAGGGCAAGCGCATTTAAATGGGGACGGGACGCATTGGAAGGGGAAAGATCTTCTTTCTGTGCATCCAACCCCCTGCCTGCAATCGGCAAATGCGGTTAGCAATGGGCAGTATTAATTTTGCTATTTTGATGTTTTCAGTGCTGGCATTAGCGTTTTGGTGTTTGCTTGTTTGCCACCTCGTATTATAAAAAAAAAACAAAAAGAAGCGGGATCATATTGGGGCATATTATTCTTTTACTTACAAAACTATAAATTTCACCATGAAAATTTTTTATTGATGGATTCTGATGTTTTGTAGAGTATAACCAAGATTTTCATTACAGTTTTTAAAATAAACGTAATAGAATTTTTCATCGCAAGACAATTTGTAATTTCCTTCTCGAAATGGATTCGTGTGAAGTAAAAAATTGATTCATTTACTTTAATATTGGTTTTTACGAAACACGAAGAACATCAATTATGTAACCTGATTGAATTTCTAGAATCAAACAATATTATTACGATAGCTGCATTAACTTTTTACCGTTGGTTTCTAAGGCCAAAACGTTCATTTTAAACATATTGTCATATTCTGTTATGTCAATAAAACTCACGGTTAGAATTTTACTATTGTCACTATCCTCAATGTGTATTGTTGCATAAATATTTAAAATTAAAATTTGTAATTTTACTATCTGTCTGAATTGCTGTTCATAGTTGAATTCAACCGAAAAAAAAATATTAAAATAAGTGTAAATATATGACTTATGAAGTTAATAACTCTTTTTTAATTTAAATTTTGAGTTAATTAAGAAATAAAGTTTTTAATATATTAATTATTAGTGATGTCTAACCAGATACCAGACGGACCACTTTAAAACAAATTTAATTACTGCGATAATGGAGAAATAAGTTTGATTGAGGCCCGCGGCGCTGTCAAAGCGGTACCCAAAGTTAATCAAGTTAGGTATGTCATCAAATAAATCTGTCTGTTCTTCTGGCTGTCTATCTATATAAATAACAAAAATGTTTGTATTCTTGTTTCACGTTCGTAAACTAGTGTACAAAATATCAGTAGCTTTGTTAGGATGATTGAAGGCGCTATTAAAGTTTTGGAATATTTATAAATAAAATCTAAAAAAAAAAGTGGTTTCTGAATGTTTTATTAAAGTTTTTGTTTTTTTTTTCTAACGTGTCAAAGCAAGGAATATCGGAGGTAGGTTAAATATTGTTGTATAATTTCTTAATCGAGTTTTATCTTTTCAGCACTTTTAAGAACTTATAATTAAAAATACTTTTGATGACTTTTTAATCTAAGTCTCAAAAAGATGTTACAGTACAATTTTTAGGAAACTTTTGAAGCCTTGATAGGTAACCTCAAAGATTATCACCATCAAAATTATTGATGTAAAAATCAAACATAATTTTGTTGTGATCGGAAATAGAGATACCAATAGATAATGAAACAGCAAATTAAAACTTATGCACATCATATTTTGTGTGTTATAACCAATAAGTATATCGAACTGTCATGGGTTTTGTAAATATAATTTTTACACTACTAAATTTACTCATGATTTTCCCAAACAAAAGCCCATTCATGTCTGAACGAGGATCCAATCGTGCACACTGGCAGCTTAATTAAAGCTTTTTTACGACCATGGTTTTTCGATTTTTTCGCTTTCATATCTCATCGAATTCGAAAATTGGCTCGTATTTTAAGAGTGTTTTTTTAATTAGGCAATCGCCTTGCCAGGGCAAACGGATGAAAGTAATTTCACCAAAAATAGTAATAGCATACAGCCAGAGTCTCTTGGAAAAGAAGGCTCATATTAATAAAACGGATTTCTGTTATATAGGATTGCGCCTTAATAAGTTACCTAAGAGTTGACGGCTGCTTAATCAGTTCAAGGACAAATTCTAAAACAACAAAAACTTTTTATTTTAACAGTGGTAGAGCCCGCTTTAACATCTTCGCACGAATCGGCCCGGCTCGTCCGGTGAAATACCACGACCACACAGAAGACAGGCGTGAAGTGGAAGCAATTCCGCGTTTCGTCTGATGAGTGTGCGTCCCGGAGGCAAAAATTAGTCCTCTTTCCCTTCCCACCCTTTTTCTTATAAGGAAGGGATGGGAAGTGGAAGTGGACTTTCCGGATGAGAGGATGCATGGAAAGGGAAAATATTTTATTTCTGTGCATCCTCTCCTCCGTCGATCAAAGGTAGGCAACGCATATGCAATTGCGTATGTCTATGGGCAACGGTCGCTTCGCTATTTCAGCGATTTCAGGTGACCGCTCGCTCGTTTGCCACCTTATGATATAAAAAAAAGCTCTATAACGAACTTAATTTCTTTTGTCTGTGCTATAAACTTTCATTTTAATTACATTCTAAGTTATATTAAAAATCTCTCAAACAGTTTACCTTAATCAAGTTAAAATGTCTGTCAAGTTACAATTTACATTTTACCAAATTAATAAATAATAAAGGAATAGCTGTTCAATACTAATACTTAATAACACCTGATACTTAATCCGGACTCAAAATTAAAGCTCAATTGAATTTACAAATTAGTAATAATTTAGTAAACGACCCAATCTTACAATAAAACATTGCTCGCGATTTGATTTCAAAACCAGAGATGACAAAGCGTTCTTGTAAGGGTGGGTCAATGGAAACTGACACGTATGACCTTTTGCTAGAAAACAGTAAATAGAAAACCCTTATCAAAGATTACAACACAGTTATATTAAGAAAATCAGCTTCTCTTTTCTATGCCGGCTTTGCATGGAAGACTCCATTACGAGGTCTATAAAACTATGCTAATACTTAAATCCGTGTATAAATTAAACGGATTAAAAAAATATTTATCTATCAAAGAGTTTCTACTCTATGAATTATTATTATTATTATTAGTCTATAAATTGTTTGGAAATGTTTTTCATAGTTTAGCGCGTTAGTTGAAAGGTAACATTCCGAAGGCATTTTGTTCTCAGTACGCGCGGGAAACCGTCTCGTATGGACATGCTTTCTGCGATATCGGAGCTTTCAAACGATTTTCAACATTACGAGAATTAAAAAAAATCCGTTAAATTATTTTTTTAACGATAAATAAATAGATGTTTTAAAAATGGAATTGAATTTATTTCTACGCGAAAACGAGACGTACGATGACTTTTATAGCCGTTGCAATAATTTGACTCATTTTGATTGTAGTGAAGAGGAAATGTTGTGGTGGATGATGGGGTCTCGAAGATTGCCATTGACTGAGATTGTGCCGATTAGTATAGTTTTGGTGGTAATATTCCTTACTGGAGTGATAGGAAATGTATGCGTTTGTGTTGTGATAGTCAGGAATCCCGGACTACATACAGCAACTAATTATTATTTATTCAGTCTTGCTGTTAGTGATTTGTTATTACTTTTATTCGGTAAGTATTAAATGATTATTTTAATGTATTTTTTATTTAAATTAAATATTTTTTTAGAAAATTAATTATTAATTTATTTGTCGTATAAGTAAAAATTTCTGTACATGTAAAATATACTATATCTGGTTGGTGGCACATAAAAAATATATTAGATAAACTAATATAATTCGTTAGTTTTTAGTTACAAACAATGTAGCTATTAACTTAAAACATTGTTTTTTTTTTAATTTTATCTGTTTTTCACTTTGCATTCACGCTAATCTAAGAAATAAATAATATTTTTTTTCAAAACCAATTTTTATAAGAAAATAAAAAAAAACAAGAATTGCATATTTATTTAATTTGTTACGCTTATTAACTAAGAAATGCATTGAAATATTTCATACCATTGGAAAAATACTTGAAAGAGCATTTCTTCATTTCCTTTGAAGTTTATAAAACATCGATAAAACAAGAAAAAGACGACTGAAAGATTTCTATTTGTGAAAAGCAAACGGAAGTAGGAAAAGTTGAGCTTTTAATTTATTTATAGTTTTTATGATTTCTTTAGCAATTTAAATTCTTGTTTTTTATGTTTGCACTTTTGCACTTTTGACTAAAGGATTTCTTGAATGAATAAGGAGAGAATATGAGTAGAGTGAATAAACACTAAGCTAGCGCGTACCATGTTTCGACCAAATCTCCACCAACACCAGGTGGGATCGTGGTCAAGTGCTGGCTTAACAAACGTAAAAAAAAAATTGCAATGGAACCACATCTTTGAATGACTTCGTTATTTATTCGAAAATTTTAATTGAATATATAGAAATGGAGACTGTTTCAATTATTGACTTTAAGTAAGAAATAAACGATAAATCTTGCTAATATTATAAATGCGAATGTTTAGATGGAAGGAAGAAAAGATATTTGTTAGAAGGTATCACCGAGGATAAACGGATCTCGTTCAAATTTGGCACACACGTAAAATATAGCCTGGAAAAATACATAAGCTAATTAAGTTTTTTTTTAAATATCGAAGTCGCGGGGTACTATATAAAATATCTCCTCTGCCCTTTCTATTCTAATATGGGTAGAGTATGAGAAATAGTCGAGGATAGAGATAGTAAGTTATGTTTTATTTCTGTCCTTTCGTTTTTAACGATAAGAAACAGTAATTGTCACTTTAGATGCTCGTATACCTGTTCTAATAAAAAACAAATAAAAGAGATCTCAACATTTTTTTATGTCCTCAACATCAAGTATTTAAGTAAAAAGCTATGCTTTATAGAGCTTATGATCTGAACAGTTAAATCGTACTCAGAGTTATTTTAATGGTAACTTTAATACTCAATTTAATGTAGATTAATTCTGAGTAGGACAATAAAAGTACATCAATAACTACGTAGCTTTTATTTTCCAGAGTCCGTAATCATTAAAGGCAATACGCGGAAATGTATTCGGAGCAATGGACTGAAATAATTTGCTTGCGCCGCTTTCTCCAACTGTGTGGGTGTCATTGACAACAACTGAACAAGCTTTTTATAACGAATATCGAATTAATATTCAAGATTTCAACTTGATTTTAA